GATGAGCCATTGTTTCGTAGCTTGTCTAAGGCACTACTAAGGCAAGGACAACAGTCCGAAATTGGTTGGTGTTGACGGTTGGTCAAGGAATATCACTGAAGTGGTAGTTTTGCACCTAAATGGGTCCTTGGTTGAAGCCACAATATTGGAATGTTAGGAATGTGGGTACATTGGCTGTTGGAGCATGGCGGCCCTACATCGGTAATGCATTGGAGGACATGCTCAGTTCACACAAGGCGGAACATTCGCGGCAATCAGACATCACAAAGGCAAGTGCATGTTCAGCAACATAATGGGGAAAAGTTGCCACACTTGCATACAACTCAGTCGGATCCTTGAGGCAGCACGTATTGGGGCCCCCTCAGAGCGAAGAGGTAGCCTGAGTCAACGAGGTGAAGTGTAGTTTCAAGGGCCAAGAGAGCATAAGCCATGGCTTGGTTTGGGTAATCCGAACACGGTGAGGTAAAGTTTGTAGGCCAGCATGGTGAAAGGGTACCCAACACACTATGCCAATAGCAGGAGAAGACCTATCACATTGTGTTTGGTAGCACCATTGAAAAGTTACCAAGAAGACAGTTGGACCTTGAGGTAAAGAGAACACATGGGGCAGACCTCCGTGAAGCATCACACATTCAATTTCTTCGAGGGCCCTTCTCACACACACTTCGACGACATAGCCATTGCGTAGTTTAAGTAACCTCAACATAGTGGGTGAAGTCTAGGCAGGCCGGCATGGTGAAATGGTTTCGTCCCCATCATGGACACCAACATAGGCGAGACCCAGGTTGACCAGGCAGCCCTTAACTGGAGCACTCGTGGATGGTGCGGAACATAGACACCCATTTATAAAGGAGCCATTGTCGAGGACGACAATGGATTGAGTGGGGGAGCCCGTTATGGTCTGATACAGGCTTATCCTTGCCTACGCTTGGCGGGCTTACATTGAGTGGCACTATCATAAATTTTGCCGATATGATTATTGGGAGAAATCATGTTTCCTATTGGCAGACCACCAAAAGCTTAATGTACTCTTTGAGGAGGGGTCGTCGACCTCCTTGGATGCCTAACCTTGGCACTCTTAGACCAACTTCCCTTGCGGGGTGGCCCTGGTTAATGGTTAGTAGGGCTACCAGGGTTCCTCATGGGCGTACACATGCTCATGGGGGCAGTGCATGGACCAGCATTGTGCCACGCACACTGAAGGGAAGCTTGGCATGCGAGTATGGCTTAAGCATGTCCCTACACCTCGCCAGCCCCATGTTTAAGTTGATTGAGCTACCCCATTGCCCATAGCGCATGTGCGTGTTCCGACCCAGCAATTGCCTATCATCATCGACACAATATGTGCCTAGCATCATCGGCATACAGGAGTCCCTTCTTATTGGCGGTAAATCGCCTCTCATCATGGCCATCACCCTTTGGCATGTAAGAGGCGCCTTCCATGGACCGGTTAAAGCCACAGAGAGCCCTGGCCATGAGCCTTGAGGTCATGATCCAGTGCCATTGACCTTGGTGGAGCCATCTCATCGGGCAACTCCTAGCCTTCTAGCACACATTAGGCTTTTCCTGGCCTCCCTTGGCATGGATGTTGCACGGGTTTCTTCTTCTATAGAACTACCCCCATGACATTCCATCGTTCTCATTTGGTTCTCGCAAGTTTGGCAACAATGATGGCCTTCTCGACCACCCCAAGCTTCTTGGCTTCATCGGAATCTAGACCATCTTCTCCTTCGACAACCACCACACCACTCTTCATTCAATGTATGAATCTGAAACCCCTCTTTTCTCTTTCTTCGTCTTCTTCCTTCCTGCTGTAAGCTTCTTGGCTTCATCAGAACCTAGACCAACTTCTCCTTCGTTGCTCATTGTGCCGCTCTTTGGATTCGACATATGAATCTGAAACCCCTCTTCTTCTCTCTTTCTGCCTTTTTCTTTTGTTGGCTTTCTTTCTCTCTTTGCTCTACTTTGTCGTCGTCGTCATTGAATGTCCCTTGGATGTCTGCTCTACTCTTTGGATTCAACATCTTGGTTGCTGACTTGCTTGTGGTCGTTGTCGAATGTCCTTGTTGGACAATTTTAATGCTTAAACATATTCAACGTCTTGGTTGCAACCTCTTCAATGACCTTTTCTCAGGTGTTCTGACAATTTCAATGCCTTGATCTCCGTCTGAGTCTCCCCTAATTCTCAATCCTTGTTTGCAAAGGCAAGCAAAAAAAAAAATGGCACGCAACATAAAAGCCCCATAAACACAAGAATCGCCCCCAAACCACCTCCAAATCTCCACAAAAACCACTAGATCAAATCACATTCCCACCTCTAACTTCATTCTCCAACTAGTTGAGCTCAACCTTCACTGGATCCGACCCATGCAATAGATTTATAAACTCATTCGCATTCAAACTTGGCCACATTGGCGTCTGCCTCTTCCACGTCTTCCATTCCTTAAATTATCTCGAAACTGTCAATGGTGGTGTTGACACTGATGTTGGCGCCACCTCATCCCTCGAAGAATGGTCATTCCTTCTACCAATGCCACTCTCACTGCCACTCAACTCCGAAGCCGTTGTAGCCGGTGAAACACCCTCCCCACCGCCTAGAAGATTGGCCATGACAGATTTGAGGCTCTCACATTCGAATGACACACAAATCCCCAAATCCTTAGCTTCTCAATTTCCAATTCTAGGGTTTCCCAACACAATCTCTTCCTTCTCCAAGGATTTCTAGCTCTAAAGATAGAAAGAAAGTCGATGAGTCGTTAGTTGCTTCTCTCTCTTCTCTTCAACAAACAATATAAGACTAGAAAGCTTTTCAAAGAGAGGTGGGATGTCAGATCCCAAAATCATGGAATCGAGGTCGCACAAACTTGAGAAACCACTGTTACCATCGAACTGGCAAAGAACCACTATTACTGGCCTTCTTTTTCACCAGATGATGGCAAGGAACCAGTGTGAGGGGCAGCGGCGATCCGCGATGGATCTGCGGTGATCTCCCACCATCTTCCTCTTCTCTCTTCTCCCTCACCTTCTTCTTCCTATTCTTCCTGTCTTCCTCCCCTTTCTTTACTCCTATCTCCGTTGCAACGGTAGATTGTATTGCAATCCCTCTCCTCAGAACTCTTTTCCCCCGCTTTCCTCCTTCATTCTCTCCTTCTACATCTCACTTTCTCCTTCCCCTTCTTCTCAGTTTTTTCTTCTTCGGTCATTGATTCACCGTCTTCAATCTTGATGACAGTGCCTCTTTTCTTCTCTACAAAGGATCATCACCGATTAGAAGCAAACCGCAGCCATCACCAGAGGAAGAAGGTTCAGGCATGAGATTTTTTAGATCTTCTCTAGTTACGACATACAATCACAAATCGAACTTGATCCTAATCCAAGAAATTTTCACTAGAGAAAATATCCCCCCTCTCATCAATCTTCTAGGTCCTTCCTCAAGCATCAACTCTTTCCAAGACAAAGCAGTCGAAAGAAGAAGCTATCCTCTATTAATCCATCGTCTCAAGCCGACATATAGTTCAGATAAATCTCATCATGCTGATAATTTCTTTCACCAGTTTATTATGCTGATAATTCCTTTCATGATGAAACTGATAATTCCTTTTATCTGAATTGGGATCGGACAAAGGGAGATGAGATAGGGGTGATTTTTAAGACCAGATTGAAAAGAGAAGAGGGTAGAGGGGATTTTTAAGACCAGATTGTAGAGGGGATTCTCCCTCACCTTCTTCTTCTTCCTATTCTTCCTATCTTCCTCCCTCACATTCTTCTTCTTCTTTCGACGAAGAACCAATAGTGTTTTTCCTTTATTTTCCCATGTATAAAAACAAACATTGGAAAGTTAATTTTTTTCACTTTCCCATCCCATCCCATCCTATCCCACCCAAATCTTCCCATAAACCAAACGGAGCCTTCATGTCTCTCTACTGTTTCCATCTTTTTTTCCTCTTTTCCTTTTTAATTTCTTGAGAGAGAGAGAGAGAGAGAGAGAGGGAGAGAGAGAGAGAGGGAGGAATGTGGAAGCAACTGTTTGATTAAAAAACTGGTCTGAAGCAGGGAAGCTTTGCTATTAAGAAGAGAGAACAACATGAATTGGGTTGAAATTGAGGGACAAAGATCGCTCCCATTTTTATCAATTGACTTTTGTTTTAAAATTTTGAGGAATAGTGGAGGGTAAATTTGATATTTCATTTCTTTTTTGTTAGCACTATGTAAACAGTAAGGGTAGAGTTAGTTAAATAGCTAAACCATAATGGTAGTTTAAAAAATTTGCCCTAAAATGTATTCATCTTAAATATAGGTTAATTAATTTAAAATCAACCTAAATTATTTAAAATATGGAAAATTATAAAAGCTTTCTTGGAAAATATGGAAAATATGGAAAATCAACCTATAGTTTAATTAATTTGCCCTATACATATTTTGACCTTAACAAAAAACCTTCCATAAAATGTTGATGCAATGCATTAATTTTCTTTAAATAGAAATAATTACAAACCAAAAAAATATTTTGGTAAAAGATATTTTTACTTAAAAAAAGAGAGTGTCCGTTGTCAAAATTCATAGGCACAAAGTACAATTGGGGTAAGTGCTAGCTCTGAATTGATGTCAATTCACACACCTTTTGAAATGTTGTAGATGTAGAGCGGAAATCAGAGTTCTGCAATTAACCTGCCCGTACTTCTATGTAAAAATAATACATAAATAACTACAAATCATAAAATTTTAAAAGAAATAAAAGTTTAACATTAAGATAAAAATATAATACAGATTTATCGAGACCATTGTAAATTTGCCAGTCTCACTAAAATGCAACTTAATTGTGATCTAAATAGACCATACATAATAAAAAAGAGTTTTAATTGGACTTAGATAAGTTAGATGAACACCTTTAATCGGATTTTTACCAAAAATGCACCTCTAATCGGATTTTCTTAATAAAACCCGTGCATCACACGGGTCCCGAGTAGTTGTATTATAAACCTTGGCTTAGGGTTCCGAGAGTTCAAGGAACCCTTGACCTGCAAGCTGCAATTTTCTTTGGTCGTATAATCGTCAAGAAAAAACCCTAAAAACACAGAGTGCAAGGGAACGCAACCAAGACCTACACTGATTGTCGTCTTCGGCGATGGCGAAGTCGCAAAGATCGAAAAGGGAGAAGAGATTGAGGACGATCAGGAGAGAAATTGCGGAGCCTTTCTATGAGAAGAAAGAAGCAGCAAAGCTCGCTGCTCAAGAAGCTGCCCTTGCTTCTCCAAAGCTGCCTGTACGTTCGCACACCACCAATACCACCACCGGAATGGAAACCACCTCTACCAATACAGGCATGGATATTGAGATGGCTGATAGTATTGCTGCATGTAATCAGAACTCAAGCTCCCTAAAACCAGCTGGTGGTGTAGGAAAGAAGTTGAAGAAGAAATTGAAGCTAAAAAAAGGCAAGCGCCATGGTAAGGGAAAGGGTAGGAGGAATTGAGGAAACACAACGTTTAAACCATGGTCCTCTAATGACAGTAAGCATTTTTCTGTTTTTTGTTTCGGTTTTTTTTTTTTTTTTGTTTTAACTATGAGAGTTCGGATGCTTCTTTATTTCTTCCGTTTTTTTTTTCAAGTATTTGATTAAACCTAGTTGGTTTCAGTCTTCACACAAAGATCCTCACCTTCAGCAATTTTCTTTTTATTTTCAACTTCTTAAGATGGATGTGTTGCAGCGGTTTTATGGAAGTTATTATTTTTGTTAAAAAAGAAGCCCTTCAATGAAAATTTATTTTTATTTTTCTCAAGTGGGGAATGGATCGATCGGTCTGTCTAGACTTCAGATTGTATTGTTGCTCGGCTTCGTCGCGTTCACGTAAGGAAGCTTTAAACTGAGCAATAGAGAGAAGTCAGAGAACAGAAAAGGTGAAGTCCGGATTTTCGGAGAATCTGTTGGCTTCCAGAGTCCATAGATAAGGCTCCTCTTATTAGGATTCACAGCCCTGACAATCGCAAGAACCTTCTATGGGCAGGTTCTTACAGAATTAAAAGAACTGCGACCTCTGTAACCTATTTCTGCTTGCTTACAAATCTTCCCCTTGTAATTCTTGCATATTCTTCCTTTGGTGTTGCAAAGTGTCTTGACTTTATATAAATAAGATATACAACAAGAATATTATTAGTATTGACTTGTTCTTGTTCTTAGGGTTCATAGCTCTGTGACCTCTAGATTGTGAGCAACAATAGTCCATTAGTCCTTGTTCTTAGGGTTAAAGTTCAAATTTCTGGTTATTCTTGAATTGGTTTGTAGGCTGACATATGTATAATTTTATATAAATTTGGACCATGATCACCTGGTTTGCCACATTTTCTTAATAAAAGTAAATGAATAATAGGCTAATAACCTATGCTGGCTGCATTTTGTTAAATCAGTTCAAAATTCATCTGTTTTGACAGAAGGACTTGTCAAGATAATGCTTTTCTTTTATGTCTTTGAAAAAGTAATGCATTCAAGACTTAAACTTGTTATTTTTCTTGCCAAGGTTCTGTATTACCAAGACAAGTTTTGACTGATGAAATTCTCGGGAAGCCTTTTCTTCAAGTGCAAAAGTTAGACTAAAAGTTGGTACTTGCTAGAGTTCATTGTGTACTGTGGGCTTCTAATTTTTGACAAGATTGTTTCACTTAAAAGAAAGAATGAAAAGGGGACTCTCGTTCCCATGAATTAGGACAACATTTGGATAAGTTAATTGTCTAACTTTTTACTAGGGTCTTCCTAATTCAGGGTAGCATTATGTTTTTTAGTGTTTCCAACTCAGTTTTCAAATATTGTTTCAATCCTTGAACTATGGTCCCTTTCACCCTGCTCCTTGGAAGGGACAAGAACTTGCACTCCTCTCTTTTTAAATTAATATATTCCAATCCAAAAAAAAAAGAAAAGAAAAGAACAGATTTGTTGCTAAGGAGTTTTCTAATTTAAATCTGATTTGGCCAGTCTACAGTAGTCATGACCCTTGTATTCTCTCTGAAAGCACCTCAATCTTAGAAGGTCCGAAGTCCCCAATTGAACGTCTAAAAGCTACCAATAGAGCCCCATCCCAACTATTGTGAACTCTTCTTTAACATTTCCTATGCATCAAGGGCCAACCTTTTGTTAAATTGTGAGTTTCTGAGGTCTGTTACTGTTATGCTCCATCTCCTGGCCTGCCTACCTGTAGCCATGTTTGAAACCTCAAATTGCATCAGAATCAGATTACTCGTTTCAATAGGGAAGCAAGTGGTCTTTTATGCACATGACTGAACTGCCTTAGTGAACTTCCCCTCATTTCTATTGAATGGTCACATTTGCTTTTACATATTTTTCCTTCTAGTCTTTCTACTCATTTCAACATGCTCATATCTGCTAGAACATTTTATGGATATGTTGATGGAAAATTACTATTATTAGATCTAAAACCGTTTTTAACCTTACACATTCACACGTCAACCAACATAAGGAGTAGGATAGGAACTAACTCATTAGGCTGAGTTTGGAAGGAGTACAAATGCAAATATATAGAGTGCAAAACCTTATATTTTGTATTATTTTGTATGTATTTACGCTGTACATATTTGCATTTGCACTCTTTCTAAACTGAGCCTTAAGAGCTAAAATTGGCCTCTTCTTCAAATTTATCTAATTTATTTGTTGAATGGGACTGACTATAAAGCGGTTATTTCAAGGTTCACCTTCACAGCTTCTGGTTCTTGGACCCTTGGCCCTTACGCATTTAATTAAGAATCAAAGGTTTTTGCAACAAATATGAACTGCTTGTCCAATTGCCCCCCAAGATCTAACAAGCCTTGCTCACTTGCAAATGAAAGAGTAGAAAGGACTAACCTGGTTTGGAGGGCCAGGTCCAGGGTTGGAAGTGTAACTAAAGTAATAGTAAGCATTCAAGCAATTAAGTTTTGATCAAATGCAAGCTGTGATATGCCCCTCCTTATTTCCGATGAAGTTCCAGTCCCTGTTCTGATCGAAAGGAAACAACGTTGAGTATCCCCTTGTGTCTGGAGAATCATTTGGTTTCTCTTTTTACATGATTATGCATATGATATTTGACTTAAAAGATTATTTGTGATTTTTAGTGGACATGTACATATAAATGGGATATTTTATTTTATCAGCACCCATAAAACGAATTGGATAGTTTTTGAGGAACAGTTTACTGTTAGTTTTTTTCCTTGAGTTGATGATGGTTGTCTTCTGCCCAAATTTGTTTGCTAGGAAGCTACAAAAGGGTTTAGCAACTTTCCACGAGTCCAGAGAATCTAATGCTTGTGTTGTTGAAGCTCATTAGGGGAGTCGATAGACTTGTAGATGTTCACTAGCTTACAGAGATGATAATGTTAGTGGCACTAGTACCTGTTGCTCCAAGAGAAATATTCCTTTTTTAATGCTTGGTAATGGTAGACCAGTAAATTTTTTGAGTTCCTTTTTTTTTTTTTTTTTTAATTTGTGGTGCTGTTTAAGTTGAAAGGGCTTCTAGTGATGGCAGAGTTAGCCAACTTGAATAAAAAGGCCAGGCCAGTCCCCAGTGCACTAGATTCTGCCAATGCCCGTCTGGGGAGGGATAGATGTACATAACCTTAACCCTGCACCTACAAAGATACTATTTCCATTTTCCAATGTTTGAACCCCAGTCACCCAGGTTGCAATGGAGCAACCCAACGGTTTTGCCAAGGCCCACCCTCTGTTGGAAACTTGGAATATTTCAGGATGTTACTACAACCAAGCTAATGGCTATTACTATGATCCAAAATCAGGCGTGTATTATTCTGGTGCTTTAGGTATTGATCATATTTTCTCTTTACATAAAGTGCATATGTTTTGTTTTTTTCCCCTTTTTATGGCATTTTATTTCCCCATGAGCCAGACACAAGCGGGTGACACAGGACGAGACAATTTACTAGCTCTCAGATTTCCTTGGAATCCAAACAGAAGTAGCCTACTTTGGCTAAGCCATGGTCACCAATTCAGGTTCAATGTTGAACCTGTGAAACTTCAAAGTGAACCTCCTCCAGGGTTGGTTGCTTCAGCATTTTTAAACCCCATTAGAGTCCTTAAAGATGCAGCTTCACCAATTGCCATCAGCAAGATGTAAAGAGAAGATATTGATAAAAGAAAGATGTAAAGGGAAGATGAGTTCACATTGGCACCCCAAAGAGGGCGCCCCATATGCACATCTCACTATCTCAGCATAGTACAACTGGATATGTCTTAACTTTTGGCATTTTTAGCACAAAGTAGTAGATGTCGGGTTCAAGCCCACGTTCAGAATTTACCATTACACCATACAATGGCCCCTAAATGTACTATGAAAGAAGAAACTGAAATGGTGTCAAATCTATATTTATTCCATTATTGGAGCTTTTTATACTTTGTTTTCGTCTAATCAATCCTTGCCCTGAAACTTAAGATTATAAACCAATTTCAGAAATATGAATTTATCAATTTCGGTTGCATTTGTAATCAGAACTGAAGGATAGGAAATAACAGTACAGTCCTTGCCTCCATCATAAACAATAATACATGTTAAAATGATCAAATATTGGAGTGTGACTTAATATTCATACTGACTCAACCTAAGTAGTTGAAAAGGTTTTTATAATTGGGCTAGGTAAGGGAGCTTCCATACTCACCCATTTTTGCTATGTGGAGGGATTATGCGGCCAATCCAAACCAACCACCAAATAGTGGATCCTTTGGATTGGCTACACGCTTAATCCTCCGGTCAACAACTTCACTGCATTCAGAGATCCGAAAAGTAGAAAAATAAAATTTTAAAGATCAAAGCTCAAAAATATTCTGAGTTATTTTGCTTTTCAAAGATCGGATTTCAGATTAACTGGATGCCAAACCGTAATATCTTTATAATCACAGCAACACAAGCACATGAGAGAGGATGGATGAGCCCCTTTTTCTTCTGTGTGCGTGTGTATGTTTGATGACGGAGGAGGGAGGCAGAGGCTATTTATGTTGTTAACTCTCTTCCCACTCGAATTGACTTGTTTGTCAGAGAAACCGGCAATCGGCCAGACGAGACAATGAGAAGTCAAGGTGACAGGGACTGTGGGACATGCGTGTTCTTCACGAATCAGATAGTCCACACATCTACATGTTACAATGTGAGTTGCACTTCCATCCGTACTGTAACCTTTTAAAGTTTTAAAGTTTGTTTTTCCCTGATCTAAGTCGATTTGGATGATAACTGCCTTAATTCTTAGGTCCTGTTTGTTTGCCAATATTTAGTGAGGCAAGTCTGTTAACAGGTAATTGCCACAATATCCATGTTCTCTTACCGTTATATTGGGTCCAACAGTAATTTAGGATACATGAGAATCCAGGTAATTGATACCTCCTGCAAGGTTTACCTGAACAAATTGTTTTTGAGAGAACTTGCCTAGATAAATATATATTGCCCAAGTAATTATAAAAACGAATAGGTTCTTAATAAGCTGTTGATGAGGAGTTCGAATATCCTCTCCACTGTGCCACAAACCCACCTCACAGCAATATATAATTGTGAAGGCCATTCTATGAAGAGGAAATCTAGATTGGTTGGTAAATATAAATGTCTAAGGAGGTATTGATTTTGTATCCTAAGGCTGCATTTGGAAGCGACGCAAATAGTGTAAATCCCGGTTCAGGATAAATTTGCATTCATGGTTCATTTTTGCTTGTGTTCGATAATATTACATTTTTGCATTGACAAATGACAGGTCAATGCATATTTACATCGATAATAAGATGTAAAAGTACATTAATAAAAAATAAGTAAATTTTCATTCAAGTGGCTTTTGATAAAAAAAAAAAAACATATAATTTATTAAAATTCGTTTTTGCATCGGTTACAGCTAAAAGTCTATTTAGTAAGAAGATAAATTTATCAATACAAAACTAACCCAGTTTTATAATTTATATAAACCATTTTACACTTTACATATTTGCATTCACACATATTTACATCGTTTTCAAACATAGCCTAAATAATTGAACATTTTCTCGAGAGCAATTTCCCAGCAAAGATAATTGCCAGTACCTACTATCAAAGGAATGAAAGTGATAATATATGTACGTAGATTCATCCCACTATGGTCTATGTGAGAGATTTTCATTTTCAGCAGATCAATGCATCGTTGCTTTTTC